GATTTTCAAGGCCATATTAGTACTGCCCGAAGACGTGGCCAAGTTCCTGTCACTATCGGAACTAAATAGCTCACTGAAACTGGAGACGATCTCAATCTTTGATTTCGTGGCCCTCGACCATGACCTCGTGGTATATTGTGTAATTTGCCTGTCAATTCTCAAACCGTCACCATCTCCAGAGTCGCGATTTGACTCAGACGACGGCTGTGACGTGTCGATCGCAATCGCATCGATGTGATCACCGGATTCTTTGCCTGCATCCTTCAGAGCGTTCGCCTGAATGCGCACTGAAAATCGGTGGCCCAGATTCGCATCGAAGCATATCTTTTGCACCGTCTTCTGGACGGTCAGGCGACTGATCTTATCGTTCGGATCATCGGACATGAACAGCAAATAGATGTCGCCCTTTGGCATTGACTTGTGTGCCTTGAGGTGTTTCCGAATGTGCCGATGATAGCACCTCTCCAGCTCCCCAATGATATAATCATTAAAATGTTTACTCATAACTTCTAATTTTGTCAACAACTAAAAGCAGAAGTAACAAAAAGTTGGGTACTAATCAGTCCAATTATTTCAAAAGAGACTAAGAAAAATTTCAAGCCAACAAGAGAAAAACTAAGCGCAAGAGTTTACAGCATTCTCAATGCCTGCTAATTTTGATACATTTAATGATCATGATGATAGTGATGATGATGATCCCCATCAATTTATTATAACCTCTCTTATAGTCTATAGTCAAAGACTTCATCAAAAGTTTCTAGCAGGTAGATTCTTCTTGTTAATCAGCTTGCTATGCAGATGCACCTGGACTCGTTACTTTTCCCATGCTATGTGCGTCGAGGCTTTACATTCTTGGACATGATAATGTGCCTTATTCTTATAGCTGATACTACAAAATACATCATATATACATTCATCACATACATATACATTCATCATATATATAGATACATACATCATATATTTATGCACATACATACATCATTTACAGCACATACAAATGTGACTAAAAGCTTAAATTCCCTTGACATGCAGATGGTTATGTACATATATACATCTCCGTTTTATAATCCATTATATCTATCTCCTCCTCTTCTTTTTTTGCATTTTTTTGTTCTTTCTATTATTATTTTAGAGTCCTGCTAATGGATCTCTCCCTGTTGGCAGTTACTCATTTATGTGCGTTGCGTAATTAAATTACGCACACGAAAATGTCAAACGTTCGCGCGGCTGCCGTTCGCATCGTTTTTACACTCGAATTGAGTCCGGCCCTTGCGACAGAGCTCTGGCTACTGCTGCGGATGCTGTTGCTGCTGTTGCTACTGCTGCTGCTGCTGCTGTGGTCGACGCATTTTTCATGCTTCAGTGCGTGCAATTTATTTTCGAGAGTGGGGGCAGCTAGGCAGCATGAAAAGGGGGAAAGCGTATGCCGTCTCATTCAAATGACCTAACCCAGGATGCGTTGCTGATTTTGACAGGCAGCGGGCTCGTTGAACGTATGCGTCGACGTTGACGTCAACGTCGCTCCCAAGTTGTAGCTAATACAGTTTTAATATAAATTTCATTTTTGTTTTGTTTCGTTTCGTTTTGTTTCATTCCCGGCTGCCCAACTTTTCTGTTTCCTATTTTTTACGTTTCATTTTCTATTGTTGTTGCTGTAGTTCTTGTGTCATCCTGCGCAGCGCTGTCTTCGTTCTCTTTGTCATTGACATGTCACTACAGCCACAGCGGACAGTGATTTAAATGTAATTGTTAACAAATGAATTGAATTTAAAATTTAAATAACAAAAAACAATATAAATTAAATAATTATATATAAACTAATATATTAATATAAATAAAAGAAAAATAAAACATAAAAAATGAAATATACTTGAAATATGTGACATATGTGTATATATGTAAAAAAAAAACCTTATGTATATAATTAGCTCAACATTTGCGCTTACATGTTTGTTAGTCAGTATAAATTGTATTATTTAAAAGGAAAACATCTAAAATTATTTTAAAACAAAAATAGTTTGATTCTTAATAAGAAATATTGTTTATAATATTCTGAAAATGTATAAATTACTTATTTTTATTGTTTCTTTTGAATAAAAAATTGCTTTTCTTCTATATAATATATATAATTATATAGAATATATTAGGTATATATAATATATTTATTTTATATACCCAATATTGTATTGTATTAAATCAATGTTAATCGACGTTTTTCTCTTTTTTTTTCTTTTCATTGTCAACCCTTTTTTTATTTTATTATTTTCATAAAATGTTTTCTATATATAATTCGATATTTGATAATTATGGATTTATATTTGTATGTGATATTCAGCAGTATGTGCACACTGTGCAGCGACTGCTGTTTGGTTTGGTGGTGGAATCGGGCTTGCGGGATTGTCGCTCAAAGTTGACGCAGTTTAAATCTCGCTGTTTGTGTGCGTGTGTGTGTGTTCTGTGTGCAGTGATTTTTTGTAGGGCTGCAGGGTGCACTTCAACTGCGCGGCTCGTTTGTCAGCACCAGCTAGACCCAGCTCTGGGGGGAGGACAGAAGCAGAGCAGTCAACCAGCCAACCAACCGAACCGATATCATTCAATGCTTCTAATTTACGGATTAATGAAGGCGCAATTTTACATATTGAAATTTCTGGTTGCTCGACTCGATCGTGGGAAGCGATTAGCGACCGTGGCCGTGGCGGTAGCCGTGGCCAAAGCGGAGGCGACACTGCAATTGTTGCCCCTTGTGCGGCTTTTGCCTGGCATTGATGGATTGCCTCATAAATTTGTGATTTGCTAAGCTTGATTTTCCATTTCACAAACTTAATTTTTATGAATATTTATATTTATATATAGTAGCATATGTACATGTATGTACGTATGCCATATGTCATCTGAGAAGGGTTGGGCGCCGTGTGAAATTATCGGGTGCATTGTCCTAGGTCCTTCTGACGACAACGCATTTGCATAAGTTCAAGAAGGACAAAAATACTCAGATGTGTCTCATTGTAACAAACATAATTTGATCAAAATTAAAAAACAAAAAAATAATGTAATATAATTAACATTTTAAAGGCCTGCCTTACTCTTCACAACTCTTTCAACGTCAGGCGTTCAGTTAAGGCTTTGTCCTGCTTAATGCAGCTTTAGATCTGTTATCTTCCAGGCAGCTTTTGAGCGCTTCGTTTCAATTCCAATTTTCCAATTCACAGCTCGACGCCTTCAATGAAAAAAAATGAACAGAAAGATGAGGCGAAAAGAATATAAATAAACGGAAGTCAGATGCTTAGTGCAAACACTAATAATATTAATAACGATAATCGTGATGAAAATGAATCTGCCAATCCGATTTCAGGTCATAAATACGTAACGTCATGCCCATTGATTGCTATCTGCTGTGTAGCCTGCCATAAGTGCAACAGAGACAAAATGCACTGAATCGGTAGTATGTGCGTGCATTCCAGTCGCGGGCCACGCGTCGCCAGTTGCTTATCTCGGGTGACCAGCACGCCACGTGCAATTGCCAATTCCAATTCCAATCCCATTCATGAACCATAGTTTTTGGCACGTATGTGAGTGTGTGTGTGAGTGTGAGTGTGAGCAGTCGATGGCGGGAAGCGGGTAGCGGCTAACGGGTAAGCGGGTAAGGGGACCAACAAATTTGCGTGCAATCGTTAGGCTTGCGTTTTTAATGACTTTTTCGTTTCAGTTCTGTTGGCATTGCATTTAATTCGATTATGATCCCTTCTCCTTACCCTACCCATTCCCGTTTCCTCGTTCCAGTCAGGTCTGTAGCTGGGGTAGCTGTAAAGTAATTGAAACGAAGCCGTAAGTGGAGCGCTGTGTGCATTTCCCAGGCGAACATGTACGCATGTATGTGTGTGCGTCCAAGTACAACTAATGTGGGTGTTAACGGTGTGTTAAGTGATTTTGCCATTTGTAAAATCGAACAATTGCAAAAGCCGCTGCGATAACTATCACATTCGTTGTTACTGTTGCTGTCGATGTCGGCGCACGTTTTGCCCATATTTCAAATGCTCAAAGTTGAAACTTTTGATATCCGTTTTAAAATTGTTTCACTTCGCGCGTGTGCGTGTGTGCGTTTGCGTGTGCGTGAGTATTTGAAAAGTATCGACTTACGTTTTCTTTTACGTACTTTTTTAGCTGATGCTCTGACTGTGCTATCCAACTGCCAGCCTATGAACAGCTGGCAATGCCAAATGGGAATTAATATTTAAAAATAACTGAGTATATGTGCTCAAAGCAACGGCTCTTATATCTTAATTTTAGAATGTATGTTTATATGTTTGCTAGCCATTTATTATTTGATTTATCCCTTGTCAGTTGGTCCTTGGCCGGTTTTTGGCTAATGAAAACTAAAAACTTCAATTACCAAAAGCAGAATAATGCGTTTTTAAACCCAAAAATGTAAGAACTGTAGCAGTAGCAAGAAATTGTGATAGATGAGGGTATATGGGAATGCTTTTTACGGGCCACTTGTTTGTCCCTGGGCTGCTTATAAACAAAGAGTTAACCGAAAAGGACAACGCACGAAAGAAAATGGCCATAAATCAGTGTAAGCAACGCACAAACACACACAAACACACGCAAATAGTAAAGTAATGCAAAGCAAAAGTAAGAGAATGAAAGGGTTTCGATGGTTGTGTTGGACTTTCCATGAAATTTCCCAATGGGGTGATTATTTAAAATTGTGCAGCACATAAATAGCAAACCAAACGCAAGCAGCGGGGCAGCATCTGTATAATAAAATCATTTGTGTGTGCATGTGCGTATACTTCAGATATAATTGTTCCCAAACTTTTTATAATCAAAGTTTTGTAAGCGTAAACAAAATTGAGCGCGCAAGCTTTGCGATGTTTGTTAACGATATTCACATGTTATCGATGCGTGATCGTTGCCTGAGGCGCGCATCTTTAGCTGATTACGCACGTAGCGAAATAAGTGTTGTGAAATCAAGGCAAGTTATGTTGTTCATCGATATTTGTGGGCACACTGTTGCGCATCTCTACACAACAAATGCGCGGTATCATTGAACATCTGATTGGATTCAGTTTGCCAAAAATCTACAGCTCTTATCAAAAATGTCGGCCGATGTGCAAAACACAGATACCAAGGATACGTTAACTCAACTGCTAGAAATGGGTTATGCGGAGATCGAGGCACGACAGGCGTTGGCGCATGCCTCCAATAATCTAGAACTGGCCATACAATATTTGGTCGGCGACTACGATGCCGAACAAACTGATGAAGCGCTACGACGACGCGTGCGTCGCCACTGCAAGCAGCTGCGCAGCTGCCTTATGGACAATCCAGCCTTAACCGATTACGCCGTAGCAGCGCTAATGAAAAAGCCACGCACAGCCGAAGCGTTGCGTGAGTTGGTCGGCACGCACAGCGTGACGTTCATGGAATCTATGCTGGAGTCATCCTCCGACGAGGAGGAGGTCAAAGAGGAGCGCAATCAGTCTCACAGCTAAAAGAGAACGAAAGAGGAGAGAGGTTGCCAGATCAGCTGTTAAAACTAGATATTAAAGCGAATTAAACGAAAGCCAAAATAGCTGTTGTTTCTCTTTTCCTTTGCTTTGGTTTTGTTTTTGTTGTGGCGCCGGTCAAGCCACCCTGTGTGCGTGTCTTTTCTTCTTTTTCAATTTTTGTTTTTTCTTGCGGTGTTTTGTATTTTGAGCTCTGTCGAGCGCGTCAACCCTTTTGCCTTGATGATTAATGATCGTATTTTTTTTACTTTATTCTATTTTGCTTGCTGCTGTTTTCTGCTGATTTCAATTAAGCGCTTTGCGTTAGAGATTTTACCCTAACCAGGGACGGATTACCTGTCATTCTTATAGGGTAATATATACTTATGCAGCAAGAAATATAAAAATTGTAAAAATAATAACTATTATTATTATCAAATTATTAATTTTCAATGTAAACTATTTGTATATTTTGTTTAAGGGTATTTTAGAGTCGGTGTAAGCCGCTTCGTAAGTTACGTGCTACAATTTTCTAGCTACTGTTGAAAATCCTAATTAATTTTGACTTGCAACCGTTTGCATTGTCAACCGCAGCCACGTAGCCGTCGCCGGCGACGCTGCCGTTGTCAACGCTTATCGGCCATTTGATCGGCGTTGCGGCGTACCGCAAAATGTGACGGCGGCTAACGGAGAGTGAGGGAGCGCAACCCTTGACGCGCGTAGGCGGCGCCCTATCATTTATCACGGGTTGCAAATGCTTAAAAGCGGCGGTAACTGAGCCCCAGCGGTGGCAATTTTAAAGTGCACTCGCAGTCACCGTCGCTGTCGCAGTCCCCGTTGCAGTCGCAGCCACAGTCACAGTTAATAAATTATGTATTGAAATTGGATATCGTCTTCATTTGACGCACAATGCACCGCAATTAGACGAGTTGAAAGTGAAAGTGCGCGCGCGTGCGTTCTCTTTTGCTCTCTGTCTCTCTCACTCTCACTCGCCCTTTCCATCTCTCTGCTAGTGGGTCCCATGCACGTTACAATGCAAGACTTGCAAAAACGTCTTTGCTTGTTGCTGTTCTTGCCGGTCAACGATCGTTCGTCCCTTTTGAGCGCTCGTTTACATGTGATTAACAAAGGCTATCAATATGTTGACAACAAGCAACTATAATAATTACAATAATAATCAAAAAGAAAGAAAAAAATAACAAAATGAAAAAGTACGCAGACAACATACATATATATGTAATTGCGGTGCAATTTTGTATGTACACACATACATAAATACATATGTATGTATGCACACGCACACGCACACACTTGCATACATACATTCATATATGCAAATTAATTGGCAATCTGAGAAGAAGCAGCTGAAGGTGCAACCGGCTCTGTCTTAACTTTTACATTTCAACAACACTGGCAGCCATTTTGAGTAATTTGGTGGAAACCGATTGGAAAGAAATCTAAAATGAAGAAGCTTATGTTAGCTGACAGTTAGAAATTGTTACTGGAAATTTCGAATTTCCCTGTACCCGTAAGCAATTAAACTAGTTCCACATCCAATCTTGACTACGGAATTGCCACAGAAATCCCATCGAAATATTCAAGTGGTAAATTTGCATATTTATGTATGTAAAGCGTTTCGGTTTCGCTTTTTATTTGCACAAGCGCTTAATTGTGTAAAAGGGAAGGCGAATGACTGCATGGCTCCGGCCAGCAGCTGCTGAGCGCTGCCAATTAATAGATGAAAATGGATTTGTGTAAGAAATATGCGTTACCCATTTGCATGCGCAACAGCAACAACAACAACGAGGACTACAATAGCAACAACAACAACAATGTATGCCACTGACAAGCCCCGACCAGAGACAATTAGGCAATTATTTGCGCAAAGGATCAAAACCAAAACAAAAAGCAAAGCCAGCGTCTGTCTGTCTGTGCTGCCTCGCATACATACACACACACACAGACGCATACTCAGTCAGTTACACACACGCACGCTGTCGGGCTCTGGGAACTCGCACAGTGTGGCCAAATGTTCTGTAGCTTGAGTCTTCGTTTCGTCTCTGTTTCGCGTTTGCTTTTAATTGAACATGAGCAATTAGCGTGCAATTTGTTTCGCTCGCAAAAATGCTAACGGTAATCGCAGACCCCGCCGCTCCATTCCCCCCATTTGCGTTCCACGTGTGCCACGTGTTTTCAGGCCGCCCAAAACGCACTTGTGTAGAATTAATTTTAAATGCTGCGCTGCACGCGGCTAAGTGATTATGCCAAGCCAGAGAGGAACCATATCTACTCATACCCATACCCATACCCATATACATTCTCATACCCGTTTCCATTTCCATTTCCATTCATTCCCATTCCAATGCCAGCAAGCGGTTGTTCACTCGCTCACTTGCTCGCTTGCTCGCATGTTTAATTATAATTAAAAAGCCTTGGCTCATCTCTAGCGCTCTCGCTCTAACCAATGGGCAAACGCTAACGCTATCCCGTTTGCACATGCTTCAAACATACATCGCTTACTTCCATAAACATTAAAATGGTTAATTGAGTGCTTAGTGGCCGGGCCACGACTTGCAGCAGCCGCAGCCGCAGGATCTTGGGCTCATCTATCTGCCTTGGCCATTGTCAAAGCGCGCCATGCACTCCATAATATTAATTATTTTAATTGAAATGTTCATTATTTTACATCTAATTTAGCGCTGCTTGCGTGTGCGACCCCCGATCCCCGACCCCCGAACCCTGTAACTTGAGCAGCCCAAAAAACAACTCCATGCTCGGACAGGACGAATCCTGTGCGCAATGCTCACATGCTTTTAAGCTTTTACTCTGAGGTCGTGCACAGTGGGCTAGGACTGATTTAAAAGGCAAATAGTTATTTTTTATTTTTGTATCTTACTTTTGTTGTTATATTAGTAAAATTGGTATATAATATATATTACATATATAATAATACTAATATCATAATTTGCTTTTAGTTTAATATTTTTTATAAATATGTTTTAATTATAATTTAATTTTTCTAAAGCTATATATTATTTTAATAAAATAAATATGCGTATATATATATATATTATATACGTATATAATTTCGATTTAATAATTTCCTTAATTTAATTATTTTATTTCTTATTTAAATTAAATTTTCAAGTAATATTTTTTTGTAAATTCAAATATTATATTAAAATTATATTATCATCAATCAAAGCTAAGTATTTGAGTCTCAGCTTTGATTTTACCTTTGGTGCCACTGTGCACACTGCTAGATGTTGCTTATTTTTATTTATTTTTTTTTCTTTTTAATTTTATTTTTGTGTTTTTTTTGGGGTTGCTGCATTTGGCGCGGGGTTTATTATAAATTTTTAATTGGCTTTTTATGTATGAATAATGCTGCGCTATGCCAGCAGTCGTCCTGCCAAAAGGGATGCAGTCCAGGGGGTTGTATCTATGTGTGTGTATGTGTGTGTGTCTTGGGTGCGTGTGCTATGCTTCTTGTCCTAAGTAGTTTGAGCCTATTATTTATGCAGCCAATTCATTATGTGGTTGTCCATGGGCCACGTTTTTCATATTTTTATTCTATTCTCTCTGCTGCTTCTTCTTCTTCTCCCTCTCCTGTATTTTTCGCAACAAATTTGTTATGGACTGCGTAAAAAAGGGGTTAGCGAGCACGCAGCAGCAGCAGGCCTGGTCGTATCTGTGTCTGTCAAGTTGCATGGTTAACCGGCAAAATCAAATCAAATCAAATCAGAGCGAGGTGCAAAATAATAAATGGCTAAATGTCGACGACGACAACAACAAAAACAATAAGAAGTCACGGAACAACCCCCCGTCAAATATAAAAAATTACATTTTTGTCAACTCATTAGAAACGTGACGATGAAAGCGGTGCTAGGTCCTGCTGCTGGTCCATTTAGCGCTTTGAAAAGGGTTTGTCATTTAATTAAAAAAAACAAAAAGCAAAAAAAGAAAACACAACAAAATGATAGAGAAAAATATGTGGAAGAAGGTAAGCTGCCAGGTTGGCCGTTTTACATAAGAAGCTGGCTCCACCTACAGCGGCATTTGGCTTGGTCAGCTTGACAGCTGGTTAACAGTGCGCGCCTACGCACAGGTGTGTGTTAACAGAGCTCTGTTAAGGGTCTGCTGCGGTGCTACCCTCGTTGGCCGGCACCTGCGATAGGCGGCTGGCTGGCAAAAGCCAACCGCTTGGTGTCCAATAGCAGCGCAGCCCCAAAAGCAACAACGCTCAAATCACATAAAAAAAACGAACGTTACATAAAACAAAAACAAGAAACCCCCAACCACAAAGTATCTGGAGCAGCGGCAAATATGCGCAAGAGCCAAAACAACCCTCGCAGCAGCAGCAACGACAACGGCAACGGCAGCAAAGGCAGCGACAGCGGCAGCAGCAAATGCCGGTCTCAGCTAGCAAGCAGCAATAGCAGCTGATAAGCCAGTGAGAGCGAGAGAGCGCCAGAGCGCAACCACCTAACGACAGCAGCAGCAGCAACAGCAGCAGTAGCAGCAGCGCCGCAACGGCAGCAGCAGAGGCAACAGCAACAACAACAGCGCACGTTTTTGCCGCTTTTCGGTTTTCATTCATGCAGCCTCGTCGTCGCATTCGTCAAGTGAACTTCGGCGCTGGCGGTCGTGTGTGCGCGCAGTAGTAGCAGCAGCAAACAGCAACTGAAATTACGTTACGCGAAACTCAAATTTGTTGTATGCGAAGCGCATTGTTTATTATTAAAAAAAAAAATAATACAAAAATTAATTATTTCTTTTTTTTTTGAAAACAAGATATTTATGCAAGTGCTGAGATATATACATATACATATATATCTCTGTGTGTGTCAGTGTGCGTGCAACAATATCTAACAACAGCAGCAACAACAGCAATCAGAGAAGCAACAGTCAAGTGTGTGTTTGTTTACGCCTTCAATCCGCCTCCCTACCAGCCGTTTTCTCTCACACTCTTTCTCTCACTGTGTGCGTGTGTGTGTGGCGCAATTATTTGAAATATGCAAATTTACGAGCTAACTAATTGAGTCGAGTCGAGTTCAGTTCGCAGTTCGCGTGTGCGTTGTGTT